TGGTGCTCGTACCGGACGGAGTATGGGATGATTTGTGCACTTAAAAGATGTTGATTATCGTCTCGCGCATAGTGGGAACATCCCTATAAACTCCAATGGATACTAGTAGGCAAATAAAAAGAAAATGTTGTTGTTCTGGTCAATTGTACAGAGATTATAAGATTGTTTGTGCCATTGCCTCTATAGGTCAGTTTTGAAATTTTCGGTACGATAAATGTATAATAAATGATTTTACTTATGATAAATGAATTTATTTAAAATAAGACCTCCAGTTGTTTTCATGATTTTTACCAACCTTTCTTTCTGTATCGGTGAGTAGTGTGACATTCTTACTGAGCTAGTGTACATCACTCTTTCATTAACCATTACAGATCAAGAGGACCAAGATCCAGATCCCGATCCACAAGAGGGTTGCGAGTAGAACGTTCAGTTTGTTTATTTTTTATTTATTTTCTTAATTATTAATTGTTCCTTTAGAATGGTCATTTCCGTATCCCTATTGCGTATTCAGAATTATTGTATAAGGAATGTAAACCCTAACGCTATTAATTCGCTTCTGTACTTAATTTATAATTTACTTCCTTTCATGTTCCGGGTTGTTACATCATTGATATAATTCGAAAGATTTAAACCATACCTCATGTTTATATTATCCTTTCAATTTGCTCCAAATGCAGTTTGGAAAAAGATGAAAGATGAGTCCTCGCTATGTTGGACCTTTTGATATCGTGGAACGTATAACCCCCATGGCATACCACCTCGCATTGTCCCCAGAATGTCCCATCCTATATGATTTTTTTAATGCCACCCTATATGATTTTTTCCATGTCTCTATGCTCAAGAAGTATCACCATGATCCTTCTAACATCATTCCACGTCCAAAAACTCCTATCTGCACAGACATGATTTATGTAGAGTATCCTACAAAAATCATCGATCAGACAAAGAAGATTCTGCGCAACAAGAGGATTTCTATAGTCAAGGTGTTGTGGTAATATCACACTTTGAAAAAGGCAACATGGGAAGTGGAAGAAGAAATGCTGGATAAGTTTCTCGAATTGTTTTTAAAAACTTTTTTCAAATTTGGATCACATAATTTTTGTAAGGTGGGGAGATTGTATACTCCTAACCTTTTGTGCTTAAAATGGTGTCAAACTCTATTATTTTGGTCATCATGGCCATTTAAATTCTATTGGTATTTTGCTTTAAAGTTATTTTTATTTTTATTTTTATTAATTTAATTTAAATCATTCCTAAATTAGTTTAAGTAGTTTTAAAAATATTTTCAGGAAATAGGAAAAGAAAAAAAGGAAAAAATAAGAAAAATCCTCAGGAATCCGTGGGAAAAGGCCCGTGGCACTGTGCGCAGTCACGTCACGTAGCTTGCATGTCAGCCGACGACACTGTGTGCAGCACATGCAGGCTATGTGCACTGCCAGCTGCGTAGACATGCCTCTTGTCACACGAACACACTCCCTTGCATCCGGAAGTGACCGCACATCCCATAAACAGACTTGTCACTGAGTATTTAGGATGTTACAAAGACTGTTCCCTATGAGAATTTCTCTTCAACCCATAAGCTTGAAGGAGAAATTATGAGTGAAATCGATTGTAGAATCCTAATTTAATCAATATATCCAGCAAGGATATCCATGAAGGCCAAATGTTTAAAAACTCCGAATCCAAATTCTGTTCTTCATAAATTCCTATTTTATTGAAGAAGACTCATAAAAGAAAAAGAAAATTTCAAGATTAGGCTTATCCCAAGCTTGGCCGAATTCCTCTTAAGAATTCTACAAAGTGAAGAGTTTAGTTTTTATTTAATCTTTGACACCTGTTGGATTAACTTGAATAAAAAATAAATTAATTGGAACCCTAATCCGAATGCAACAAGGAAATCAAGTTCGGCCACACCAAGGGTTATCTTTCAATAGAGAAGAATTTTAATTTTATTTAATTAATGAAATTTTAATTATTTCCTAGATAAAGTTATGTTAAGAATTTAATTAGGATTTTAATTTTTGAGTTTTATTTAAATATATAAGGTGAATGCGTAGATAAAAGCCAATCCCTTTTAAGGCCAACCCCTTTTAATTATAACAATTTAGTTCAAGTTCAATAAAATTCAAGTTTTGCTTTAGCTTTGGCTATTCTGACTATCCTTTGAGTGATTGTACTCAATTGTTTTGTTGAATGAGGAACTGATTCAACTTATTAAGATAATCCTTGTAATATTTTATCAATTTTTATTTTTTTTCTAATTACCTTAGTTCTCAGTCGCACGTTGAATATCGGCTAAGTAGGAAAATTTTGTTCAAAAATTAAGTTTTTGTATGTTAATATTATTTGAGAGATATTTTTTATTGCATTGTTGATCCTATGTTCCGCATCATAATAAAAAAAAAAAACATGCTTAAGCCAAACAATTTGTATGACATTAGCTTTCGGCTAAAAAAATTCCAAAAATAAATTGAGATTTTAATTTTGTATATCATCAAACATAACATAGTAGGAAATATTTATAATAGTTACGTGGATTGCAAGCTACTGTACATTACAAATCAAGTATATTGGTGTCATACTTTCAATTTTTTTGAATAAAAAATTAGTAGTAGTAATGACGATAATGGTGAAATCAGATTTCATAAGATAATGAGCGAACAAAAAAGGTAAATTGGTTATGTTATCATTATTGTTGTTATCATTATAATATTTGGCTCTCTTTTACTTGTTCTGAATTTTGTATTGTTTCTATTTCTAATTTATTTTGCTTCTTGTTGAACTTCCATACAAGGGGGAGAGAATTGAGTAAGAGAAAAGAAAAGGAAAAAAAAGAATGAAGAAGCCAGAAAGAAAATATTGAAGAAAAAGAATGAGAAAGAGAGAAAGAAAAAGAAAAGAGAGAGAAGATGATGAGGAGGGAGTAAAGGAAAAAGATCGTCCTTTAAACTACCAAAAACCGATAAGGTCAAGTGGCCAAACAGGGCATCTCCGCCACAACTGCAATCCCTCTTTTGACTTCCCAAAATGATGTGCTGTTTCGAGGAACCTTTTTAAACATTTGATGAGGAGAAGCAATTTAGGGGTTTGAGCTTTACACCAAAATGGGAAAAGCAAACAGTTTCTGCATCAACTCTCTGTTTTCTCTTCCTTGCACACAAAAAAGGAAAAGGGAAAACAACAGCAGCATGGTACGACCTCCGGTTAGAGGTCAAAGGAAGAGAGCGAGAGTCAAGGCCTGAAGATCGTTGGTTATAACAAAGAAAAAAAAAAAAAAAAATGTAGATTATGATATTTATTTTTCAAGGGCTCAAAAATATTTTATTAATTCCTCTCTTTGCATCAAATCCAAGCAGTTCCCAGAACAAATGTATAAAATCCTAACATTTGAAATGTTCATTTGATCACATCAAATGATGAACTACCTATTACAAATGATTAGGTTAATAAGAAGGAACATCAATTACAGATTAGTTGGAATAAACATAAGGAGTTACATTGAGGAGATATATGTTTATAATATAATATAAATTAAAATGACCACAAAAAGGAAATAATAGTGAAAAATGAGATGGATGAAGAAACACAATTAGTGTTAAGTGCAAGTTGAAGGAGCAAAACCAACAACACCCTTGCCAATATGAAATGCCCAGAGAAAATTTTGTTGCATTATATTGCCAATAATAGACACACCAGGACCCTTTCCTTCTACAATTCCAATACACCTAACTCCATCAGCTGCATCAATAATATAGCTCTTGACATGGGGCTGGAACCGAGCACCGTCTGCAAAATGGAAAACCAATTTTGGCACCAAATTCTCACTGAACCCTTCTGCAGAACTGAAACAATACTCCATGGGAACCCCATCCAACACAACACTCTTGAATTTCGACACAGACCTCTTCAATGCCGCCATTACAGGAGCATATGCCGGTGAGCCTAGGAAGGTTAGACTTGAGCCTGAATCAAGAATAGTACCACCTCCTTTTGATGCATCCCAGACCTCCATGGGAATGTCCAGACGCACTCTGCCAACAGAGATACCTACCACGTTCACCGCATAGAAAGCGCCTACAATGCCAAGTTCGAGATGGGTGTATGTCATGTTGGGTGACAGTGATGATCTGCTTCTTCGGCCACCGAAGATTAAGTAATTGGAAAGGTTTGCATGGCTCAAGTGATCAACTAGGCAATAAGAAAACTGGCCTTCTAAATTCTGTGTGGCCTTTGCTGTGAAAGAGTAGTTGCTGTAGCCTAAGCCTATGACACCATCAGCTCTGTCAAAACTAGGGCCTTGGATCCAGTTACTGCATCCAATTAGCACATTTTCTAGCCTCGTCTTCCTACCATTTCCCAGACCTAATGTTACTGTTTCCTTGGCGAAGATGCCCTTTGTAGCCGATGAATCCAGGTATCTGATCAAACCAAACATTGCGGACCTTACAATGTTTCTATTAACTTTTTTTTTTTTTCCTTTATGGTATTTTCTAATTGCTATATCTGATCCTACCATTTCTAATTACTTAACCAAAATGTTAAGTTGTATTAAAATAATTTATTAAGTAAAAGAGAAAACAGTTATCATTTCTCATCATTTGACTAAAATTTCATACGTCATCACAAAATTAGAAGCTAACCAAGAAAAGAAACCAAAAGCCAATCCAAACTCTATACCTTTCTCATTTGAAAGATGATTACAAAATTTGAATTAGGGATGTAAAAATAAATACCTGTAATCATAGGCACAAGGAGCCAAAGGAGTCGGGCAGGCAACGAGAGAGAAAAGATTCATGAGATCAGTCTTGCACATACGGGAAAAGCAGGGAATAGTTCTGAATGAAGAAGAGGAATCAGCGAGGAAACCCTCCTGTCTCCTAAATCTGCCTTTACGGCTACAATTTTTCCCGCAATGGTACCTACATTTCATCCATGTCAACTCGCTGCCTAGGTCCACAATCATGATGAACTTTTGCCCAGGTGTTCCCACCCTAATGGACACGAAATACTGAGCCAATCCGAAATCTCTCCCGGAGTAGATAGGCATTTGAATGGGGGATGAAGATGGAAATGTCTCCCTGGTTTTTCTCCTGGCGAGATGATGACGGTGATTCTGGGAAATGAGTTCATGGCGGAGGAGGTCAGTGTATGAGAGCTCCTTGATTCGGTCGAGTTGAGTAGGAGGCCTGCGATTGAGTTGAGGCGCATGGCGGTGAATCAATTCCAAGCGGGGCAAATCAGCAGCGAGAGAAATGGAGAGGGAGAGGGAGAGGATGAGGAGCAGGTCTCCTTCATCTGCATCATAATGTTGTGCAGAAAGAAAGGTGGGAAACAATTAAAGCTGGAGGCCAAATGCTAAAATGGATGGTTAGCAGTTGTATTGCCGCGTTGTCAACTTTTTCACATTACCTGTAAACATTTATTTTTAATACACGGAGATATATATACATATACATATATTATATATACACCATACATTTATTTTTAAATTGAGTTTACAAATTGTATTTTCTTTTCTTTTCTTTTTTACTTTTGCAGATGCGAAGTAGGTGGAATTATTGAAAGTTAGGATACTCTTTTTTATTATGAATGGTATCCATCCCAAATTATCAAAACTAATAGTTTAATATACGAAATGGGTTAGCTATACTAAAAGTTTATATAATATATCTACCATATGATTTAGCCTTTTGTTATATGTACATGTATATTATATAATTAGCATACATGTTCCCCAAATTCAACCTTTTACAACAATAATATCACAAATCATCCCCAAAAAATTAGGTTAGGTGACAGATTTACAATGCCCTTTTTTCTTTCTCTTCGTTTATTATAATCATATATTTTTGTAATGAATTTTTTTAATAAGAAAAATATACATCATGCCCTATCTAGATATTCTCAAATATTTCTTTGAGTGATTATTTTGCAATAAGTTACAAAATTATTAACATACTTTTTAATAGGATAAGATCATTTGTGAGAAAAAGGTACAATGGAGATTCATCATTATACTTACAATTGTGCATGTCATCTTTTGTAAGTTTGACTTTTGGTTTCTTTAAAAAGATCTCTTTCTGTTTTGGTGTATCTTGTAAAAGACTTCATATCTTATTTAGCAAACTTCAGGCTTCATGTAGAAGCACGATCTATATGCTTATGGTCTTAAAATTATGTAGTAGGATTTTAGAATTTTCAAACTAGAAAATAAGATCGAAGTTCGTCTTATATAGACTTTGGACACACACGGAAGTATTTTGACAAATAATTAATATTATTGATATTATCTGAAAGACTTAAACCATACCTCATGTTTATACTCCCCTTTCAACTTGCTCCAAGCCCTTCTTTATAGTTATTTATTCCTACAATCTTAAGATAAGAAACTCAAATATTTTCTTCTTAGTGTAGTCCATAGGTGATTCAACTTGGGGGAGGGGGGGAGATTCTATTTCACTATTTTTCTCACTTAAAAATAAAATTTTTTCTAAGAAAGTTTTTTTATTAAATAGTGGTTACATAAGCGTGTTTTGTTTGCTTAGATGATAATTAGGGCTAAATTCTCACAAACGACATTAATAATGAGATTTAAATTTTATTGAAACTAAGATAATGTATATATAAATTAGAAAGTAAAGAATATCTCCCAAAATGCATACCCTTTTTATTATGAATTATATTTTTAGAATTTTTGTAATCATAAGTCTTTTTTAAAGAAAAAAATTCATCCTGAATTTCAAAACTAAATAGTTTGATATACGAAGTGAATTAGATATACTAAAAATATATAAATAAATTATATTATACTTCAATGGCGAAAAAAAAAAAAAAAACAAAACAAAAGAAGTTCTCTACCATGTAATTTAGCTTTTTTTTTCTTCACATTAGCCCTTTTTGTTACATATATATACATGTATATTAATAGTATGTTGCAAATTATAGCAAAAAGAAATTGAATCAAATAAGCGTTTCTAAATACAAATATTTTTGTCTAAATATAAATTATTTCTTTTTTGAAAAAAAAAAAATCTCTCTTTCATGAGATATTATATAATTGGCATACAAATTAGCCAAATTCAACCTTTTACTTCACATAATAATAATAATAATAATATTAGAATGGGTCTGAGCTGTGAATTTGTATGAATCAAATCATCCAAAAAATTAGGTAAAAGCAAAGCCTTTTTTCTTTCTCTTCTTTATTATAATAATCTAATGAATTACAAGATAATTTTTTTGAGTATGTTGCAATAGCTTCACAAAATTATTAACATGTTGTTTTTATTATTTTCAATAAAATTATTTAGTTTGATTGTTCTGCAAATATATGTTTTGATTATTCTCATAATTTACTTTTTATATAGTTCTAGTATTTAATATTTGTAACGTATGTATAATTGATGAAGGTAATGAATCTCTACAACTGATAGAACTTTTCTTAATTAATGAATTTAGTTAGTCTTTATAACTGGTGGAAGTAGTAAATACTTATGTGGTACCCGGTAATTTTATTTTTATTTTTTATCCCTTTCATATATAGTGGTGTTGGAGATTCATTTACCTTCTTTTTTATACAACAACATGCGCCTTCCACCTCTTTGTTTTCAGTCTATCAAACTGTAATGATATTTTTTTTTTTTTTTTTTAATGAGGTTTTCTCTAAGAAATTTCCTTAAAAAGGAGGTCTTATATGAGGAGTTATGCTGCAATCTTCTTGTGCTTCTTTTCAAACTTGAAAACCACCGACTACACCTGTTGGGAGGTTTTAAGGTTTGAGAGATGTACAATTTTATTCTTCCTTATATTATTATTAAATGTCTTATAAATAAAAACATTTAACCCTATTTTTATTATTTAATGAACGTACGATAAAATATTTTTTAAAATTAATTATCACTTTTCCCTCTTATATTTGAATCATTACATTTGCCTTTACCCTTATATTAGCTCTATGCCACATAACGGTCATAGTATCCTCACTAGATGAGGTCTTTGATCTTAGTCTTTTAACTTTCTATATTCATTTGTCATGTCTAAGGCCATTGTGATGGTAGCAATACATGTTTTTGTCTGAGTTTAATACTTTTGAACTTCAGTGGTGGAAGTACATCATACTCTTATATTAGATGATGGGCGAATTCACAAGTTTATGAAATCTTTCAGATAATAAAGTGATTAATTGAGTATCGTCACACAGAAATTGCATATAAAGTACTAAATTTATAAAAAATTTATTATTATCTAAAAATTAAAATTAAATTTATGAAGATAAAGATTTTAAAATAATTTAATTAAATCAGAATAATTAAATTTATAAAAAACTTATCAATGAAAATGCACTAAAATAATTGATTTCACTTAAATTTTGGAAATATTTATATTTTAGTTTCACAATCAATTTTATCTAGTTTGCAATAATCAAACTATTCTAATATACTTTCGATTTTATTTTTATTATTCCCTACGTCTATTAATAAATTTTTGTAACAATTATTAATTTAATTCAATTAAATATGTGATAATTGGGTTAGTCTATGTTAATTCAATATATATTACTCATGTCTATTATCGTTTAACAATATATATTTAATTAAGAGAATTTCATTTCCATTATTCTAAAATCATCATCACAAATAAAGTTATGAGTTAACAAATTTTTACAACCGAATTAAATTCAATATTGCTAAATTACAACCAGAAGAAAGCGAAAAATTAAATTTTAAAGGTACTTTTGATTCAAGCTACATCAACCATTCTAGCAAAGAAAATTTAAGTGGACATGATGGATTGAACAACAATAATTATATTTAAGAAAAATATAATCATGTAATAATCATGAATAGGTTTATAAAAAATTTCAAACACTAGCATTCAGTTCTTATCATAAAAAAAAAAAAAAAAAAAATCTTTGAAAATTTGTTTTCTAAAAATATGTTTGAAAATTGAAAATTAAAAAAATATATTACTTGATTAATTATTTTTCTTTTCTTTCAGCTCTCTCCCAAAAACTTTATGTCTTCCCGTTTCAGCTTCCACATCTGTTTCTGCAAATTTGTTTTCTACTTCTCTGCTTCGATTCTCAAAGTCTAGATCTGCTTTCTCTTCAAATTTGTCCCTATTCTATGCTCGAAGCTTGTTGTCTTCTCCATCAGTCGTGCAATCTTCTCCAAGCTTTCTCTCTCTCGCTCACGTCTCTCTTTCTGTGCAAGTTTTCTCTTTTACAGATCTGTTCATTTATAGGCAGAAAAAAAATAAAAAAAACTAAAATCCCGCACATATCTTCCTATTTTTGCTTTAGATTTCTATTGTACGCCTCTTTCTCTTTTTTCTTCTCTTGTTCCATTCTGCAAATCTCTTTTTGTTTTTCAAATTGGCGTCGTTTTGGGAGTTCTGGTTCCTAGCCTCAAAATGACGTTGCTTTGAGTGTTTTTAGGCTATTGGGTTGCTGCTGCAGGTTGGGCTAGACTTCATGGGTCTTTTGGGCTTATTTTCTCTTTTCTTCATCAATATCATCTGCATCAAAATTTTACTAATTAATTTATTTTTAACTAAAATTATTTCAAAATTATTTCAAATTTAAGTAAATTCTTTTTTAAAAATATTATAAAAATACAATACATCATTAGACTTCAATAATAACTTAATATTACATGTTTTTTTTTTGTTTTATATATTAATATATATTGATGAACACCTCGAACAAGGTTTTTAAGAATTTTAAAGATAATGAAAAAACAAACCATTGCGTCATTGGTCATATTCGATCTATATAGGGAGTCATATTATTGGTCAATTCCAAAAAGACTGGAGCTTTAATTTTTAGCCTTTTATTTTTGATACACTATGCGAGGAACTAACTATGTCTCTTAGCTATAGCTTTAATGTTTAAAACCATTTCCTTACTCCTTGTTTAAGAGTGTGAGAAAATACTCTAAAGATTTTAATAATCAATTAAAACATAAGATTCATGCTAAAACGTCGATGATTAAATAAGTTCAAATATTTTCTATAAAGTGTCAGTTAGTTGCTCCATTAAATTTTAATGTCTTCCATATAGTGTGTTTAGTGATTTAAAAGATATTTATTCAACTATATCAATCATGTTATAGTAGTTGGAATTTTGATAGGATAAGATCCTCTACGATAAAAATGTGAAAAAGAGACTCATCATTATACCTAAACTTGTGCATATCATCTTTGGTAAGTTTGACCTCTAGTTTCTCCAAAAAAATCTCTTTCTATCTTGGTGGATCTTATAAAAGACTTCATGTCTTCTTTGGCAGATTCCACATCTCATATAGAAACATGATTTATATGTTTATGGTCTTAGAATCATGTAGTAGGATTTTAAAATTTTCAAACTAAAAAATAAGATTCAAGTTTGCCTTATA